TCTCTCTCTCTCTCTCTCTCTCTCTCTCTCTCTCTCTCTCTCTCTCTCTCTCTCTCTCTCTCTCTCTCTCTCTCTTTTAACGAATGCAGCAATTTATACCCAGCAGAAATTGAGGCCGGGGTCCTCACAGTCTGCATGGAAACAACAGCGCATTACTGGGGTCATTACCCAGCTGCGGTTTGCCCGAAACTATCTGCAGGATTCACTCTACCAAAAACAAGTTAACTGGAACGAAGAGCAAAAGGGGAAAAACAGTACCAATCTGTGGCCTTTACCTAGATCCTACCTAAATTAACCAGTGGGGGAATTGAGGTAACTGTTAAATCCCCTGTTCATCCACCCTAAGCTGAGTTTTTCGTTACCTGCACTCCACAGACCTACTGTAGGTTGATCCTATACGGATTTCGTGACTGGTTTGCCTTAAAACGGTTTTCGGTTCCACCCGGCTCCACACTTCAGCTGTGTAGATCGGATCCTAAAGCAGGCTGTGATTTATGAAGAAAAAAAAAAAACAAGAAAAAATGCTGAGTTCCATTCAATCGGGGGCTCCATGAGGTGGGCAGTCTGACACCCTCAGTGGGGGGAATCTGTTTCCAGTGCGACAACCTCAAGTTATCTCCAGGAGGTGAAGGTACCTCTAGGAGGCCCTTGAGAAGTTGAGATTATAGGATGAAATGGATGTGTCATCCGATAATCCGTAGGACTAGTCCTACATACGTTGTCACAAGTGTGTCTGCACAAATTAGATTAGGGCGCTCAACCTGTTATCTTGGGCTGTAATGCCGCCACTGTTGTTGGTGGGCTGTAATGCCACCACTATTGTTGGTGGACTGTAATGCAGCCACTACCATAGTTTTCAATCTGTTGCACTACCTGAACACTTCTAGGCAGAAGTACGGTGAGCTACAATGCAGCCACTATCAGTGGAACCTGTACTAACCTTGATAGTGTAAAACCTAGTGCATGTTGACAAAGTTGGAGTGTTTATATTGTATGCAAGTAGGCAAATGGAACCAGAAGTCGAGTTCATCCAACGAGTCTGAATAAGCTGTGGTTTACCAATAACACATTATAAATGTACTCACTGAATCAAACTCTCACATCTCTTATGTGGACCGGGCAGATTTCTGGTCCATCCATCCATTCCATCCATCCTGTTGTCCATTCCATCTTTAATATAATCCATCCAGTCAATGATGTCAATCCATCCATCCTCCCTCCATCATATCTATGGTAAGGAGGTAAGAAGTGAAGAGGGCTAATGCAGCAGAATAGTGAGGAGATAATTAGAATTACTAATTACCTTAAGGTTAGCAGTGGCATGGACGAAAGGAGTCGTTAGGTAGTCAATAAAGTAGAAGGGGTAGAAAGTAGGCATGAGTTAGCAAGTAGGTCAGAAGGAGAGATTCAGCAGCAGGGAGGAGCAAATGGCAAAAAGGTAAAGAGGTGGACATGGAAGACGGGAAGACAAGGAGGAGTGAGAATATTGACTAACTGGCAGGGTAGTCTGGGCGCCTACAGCCAATGCCTACCGGTCGGGCCGCCGACCCGTCGGTGGCCTGCCGACTGGTCGGCACACTGCCTTCCGCTTTTTTTTGCTTTTTTTTTTCCTGAGTACATGGCTGTTCTGCGCTTGAGCAGAACAGCCCAAATCTGCAATAGAATTTTTGCTTTGGGGCGGGT